AAGGCATAATTTTCATACTATTAGTAGATCGTAACACATGAAGGTATAATTTGTCCTGCAAGTATTGAGTTAGCTTTTCTGGGGAAGGTATTCAAACTGCCATTCCATGTTATCACTAGAATTGCCTTAGAAGCTGTGAGTAGGCAAACTTTTCCTGTGAAGAGCCAGATAGTAAATGTTTTATACTTTGCAAGCCTCATGTTCTGCAGCTATTCAACTCTGTGACTGTAGTGTGAAAGCAGCCACAGACAATACATAAACAAATGGATGTGTTCTGATAAAACTTTATTTACGAAAACAGGAGGTAGGTTGGATTTGGTCTGTGGGCCAAGGTTTGCTGACCCCTGAACTTAGAGTAAGACAAAGATATGAGGGATATGCAGAATCCAAAAACAAGTCATTTAAATACCTACAATTTAATGGCTCTGCAGTTAGAATATGAGAATGTTTCAGAATAAAAATACTCTTAATCCAATCTAGTGAAGCAACTTGAAAAAGGGGTTGCACAATCAAATCACAATTAAAAATCAAGTCCCATGAGCTTGAATCTTGGGGACATGGGTGGAGAGATAAATCAATTTGAAGGGCAAAGATTTAGAGGTATGATTAACTAAAAGATGACTTGACTTGCTCCTCATGGTCATGAAAAAACATATTCTGGATATATATGGCTCCAGATACATATCCTGGTCAAAAATCTCTGGTCAATGTATGTCCTTTATGAGTAAATAAATGTCTTTGTGTTTCTATCTATGTTGACTTCTAACCAGCTTTATATAAGGGCCTTTCACAATTCAAACGGGTTTTGTATATGGAGTGAAGAAGGGATCCAATTTTCGTTTATTTCCCAGAATCACCTGTTGAAAAGTACTTCCATTATTGACTGATTTGCATCTCTATGGCATTCATCATGTGTCCACATATGGGTGGATACATTCCTAGATTTTCTATTCTGTTTTACCATTTTAATTTACCTATTCTTATGTTAATATCATTATAAAGCTACAATGGTTGAGACAGTATGTCTTGATTTCTAGTAGAATAAGCCTTTCCACCTTCCTCTTCAAAAATGTCTCCAGCAGATGAGCATCTTTGCATCTCCATAAAATTTTTGAATCAGCTTATCAAGCTCCATAAAACATCTTGGTAGAATTTTCATAGGGACTGCACTGAATCTATAAAATCTATAAACCATGGGAGAATAACTGATAACTACACAATATTGAGTTTTCCATATCATTATGCATATCCATTTATTTAGGTCTTCTTTAAAGTTTCCCAATAAGTTTTGTAATTTCCCCCACAGAAGTCATGCGTATCTTTTATTCGATTTATTTCTAGGTACTTCATAGTTTTGGTGTCTTTTATAAATTTCATTTTCTAATTATTTGTTATTGGCATAAGAGAATAAAATTGATACTTGAC